CTGTGGGTGCTGGGCGCCCTGGGGGTGCTGCGCGGGGGCGCTCGGGCCTCGGGAGCCGCCGTGGGACCGTGGGGGGCCGCGAGCCTGGCCCCGCTCCCGCTGGGCATCCGGGCCGAGACCGTGGATGTAAGTAGCCGGGGTGGCCGGGTACAGAAACGGCGCGATGGACAGCGCCCCCCGGAGGGTCGCTCGTAGCGCTTGAGCGGGTGTCATGCCATAGGGTCCGCTGAGGAGACCCTCCAGGGCACGTGTAACATGCCCTTTGCTGTGGCGTTTGATCTCTCTCCTCCGCCAAGGCAGAATCAGCCCCTGGCTGGTACTGTTGCGCGCTCCCGCCAGTAAGACTCCCTGCTTTTTAAAGCACAGCGGGGTCTCGAGCTGGAAAGGACAGCCAAGACTCACAGAACAGAGGAGAGCCTTTGCAGCCCCAAGACCCATCCAGCAGGTTGTATTTTGCCTGCCTCTCCCAGGGGTTGCAGTGGGAATGCCCATGGGGACACTGGCTGCACCTTATGTGTATGACATCCGTGTTAGCAAAGGAAGTGAGCCCAGGACCCGGACCCATGGCAAGCACAAGAGCTTTATGTCCCTCCTTTTACTTCCAAGTGGCTGGGGAGGAAGGGAGGTCTACCTGCTGCCCATGCTCCCCACACCCCAGGGAGAGGCCTGGACCAAAGGAGTAGCTTTTTCCGGGTTCTTGATCCATACCCGTCCTGCTGGACCCACACTCCTCCAGTCTGAATGGCACCAGCCCCTCCCTGCTGATTCACCTGGCTGATTTCATAAGGCTGGGAGACGGAGCGAGCTGCTGCCAGGAATCCCATCTGCTGGTTGAGAGTGCTGTAATAACAACGCCACTGAATGGTGCATTGAGTGGAAATGTCTTGAAACGGGCTGCTGGGAGCAAGGCCGCAGCTTCCCCACAGCAGGCTATGGCTGGGGCATTAACAGTACAAGGGACCTCTGCGCCAGGGCTTGCAGATTCCCAGGTGGGTCTGGGAGGACAGGCCCTGCGCCTGGAGTCCCTCCCTCCACCTAACTTTTTTTTTCCCCTAGGGTTAGCAACTGGGGAGAAATTTCCTGATCCCACAAGTTTTTTGTCTGCTTGCTCAACAGACTTGTTTGCCACTGTCTTTTCTGTGTGATTTGCTGTTTTGCTGGGCAGGAAGTTGCTTTGAAACTGCTGGTACTGGAGGTGAAGTGCCTTCCTTGCAGTAAGGCAGTGGTTAAAGCTAAGCAAAGCTTTCTGTTTAGAGCTTGTCAGAGCGCTCTGAAAGCCACATGTTTACTCAGAGGGGCTTGAAATGTGCTGTCCTGAATTGAGACCCAGGGGAGGAGTAGAAGATCCAGTTTGAAGTATTTGGAGAGGAGGGTTCCCCAGATACAGCTCGCTAATATAACCACATGACACTACTAATATGGCTCTTGTAACGTCTCATGCGTGCGTCCCACAGAAGAAAGCTGCGACCTGCTGGGATGGGCAATGCTGGTGGAGCACAAGGTATTGCGTGTGCCGCCCAGCCCACTAGTTTACTTTGCCCGCATAATGCTCGTGATTCTTCCCCCACCTGTATGGGTATAATGAGTGTCTCTAGGGACGCTCAATGGAGACCACAAGGTCTGGTTTAAACATTAAGTATATAACTGAAAATCAGCTGTAAAATTGAGATTCTGTGTTGGGAGGGAGCAGAGCACGTGGTTTCGGTGGCAACCACTGTAGTAACTTTTGAGAAGGTTGAAGTGGCAGGAAGGAAGTCAGATTGTAATCAAGCTGAGGTGATGAGAGTTTCTTCTTGTCTAGGTTAGCACTGAACGCTTTGTGCGCCATTGAAAAGCCCACAGCCCGTTCTAGCTGCCCCCCCCACCCCAGGTCAGTGAGAGATGACATCTTTCTATGCTGAACTGTGGCAGAAGACTTGTTCACTGTGCGCAGTCCAGGAAATCATCCATCACTTCACCCCAGCCAGCTTTTCATGAACCACAGCCGAAACCTGGTGCACTGAGCAGTGAGTGCTTCCTTCTGGCCTTATGTAGGAGAAGGGAATTGAAAGCGATGCCAGGATCCAACAATACATAGGAGTTTCCTTGGGGAGCCTGAAGATTTTTTTTCCTTGCAATTCCCTTACCCAGTGGGTTCAACTTCTAACCGTCAGTTTTCCAGCACTGGTCAGGGCTGATTACACAAAGCTGCCTCTCTGCTGTGATACCTCAGTACAACGCCTTGTGATTTGTGATTGTTATATGGCTTAAAGGTCAAACCTTCAAGTTGAAACCTGAGAGCCGCAGATTCAAATCCCATATAGCCTAGCTACAGGGTGGCCTCATAGGTAGACTAGGACATAGGCGACTTGTATTCTTTTCCTGGCTTTGCCTGTTAGGGAACCTCAACAAATCATTTTGCCTCTTTGTCTTGATTTCTCCCTGTGTATGATGGGAACTTTGATTAACCTGGTTGAAAATCCTTTGATTCAGTTTGCCACTGAAAACAATTAATTTGTCAAAACTGAAAGTGTTCACAACACTGAACCTCGTGACTTGAAAACTTTGGTGGGAGAAAGGGATACATATTTTGGAGTTGTCAAAAAAAAAAATCTGGTTTTTAAAGCCTGAATTTCTCTTCTTCTCCCAGACAAAAGCATTCTTCATTTAGAAATGTTTGTTGAGGTGGACTAAAGGATTTGAAAAAATGGGCAAAATCCAAGGGGAGCCTCTAAAAATTACCCAAGCAAAATATTTTGATTTGATCCAAATCTGTTGTTACTTTTATTTATTTATTTTTTTAATTGTTGGTATCTAGAAGCTTTTCTGGTTCTTGCCCCTTTGGCTTGAACCCGCTGCTATTTTGATACCTGTAAACAGGACAAGTTAATCATTTCCTGTCCAGTTCTTAGATACCCATTCCTCCTTCGAAAAAGCACTTTGAGTTTTGCTGATAAAGAGAGCAGTCTAAGAGCTTCTGGTATTGTATTTGTCATTCTGAACTCTATGCTGCTCACTACCATTTCCCAGAGGAGACAAGGTCATCACGTGGACCCTGTTCTGGAAACCTTGTTTTCAGTGCACTGATTTCAAGGAATTTTTATTTCAACTATGACTCTTCAGGACAGAAGCAAACCTCTAAAATACTGGATCAAACAGAAAGAGAGACAAAAAAAACTAGAACTCTTGGTTCCAAAATGATACCTTTTTATTAGACAAAAAAGGTGTCATTTTTGGAACCAAGAGTTCTAGTTTTTTGTCTCTCTTTCTGTCTCAGACCAACACAGCTATCAAGTACACCCCTGGATCAAACAAAACACACATGATGGGCTGGCCAATGATATGCAGAGACAACATTGTGCAACACCCTGTCAGAAGCACAGCAACTCAAAGTGTTGGGTGTGCCCAGCTCGGTGGACCATTGATTACATCTCCTGAGTGATTCTGAAATGGTATCAGCACTGAGGTGTTTAAGTTTATTGAAATGGGGAATAACTAGGCTGCAAGGTGAATGCCTTGTCATGTATACATCCCTTATCTCTGTGCTGTTGTGTCTAGCTGCCAGACTGCTGTGCTTTGATTACACTGAATAAGTGCTGTGTCCATACTAACTGAGAGAGCCTGGGGCTTCTCTGCGTGGGGGGGTTAATTAACAGAATAGTTATTTTGGAGGAGCTCCATCCTGAAGTAATTAACATGCTTTGAAGCGGAGGAAGTGTTTTTGAATTAAATCATTATTAGTCCAGAATAGTTTTAGCTTTGTTGGAGAATATGGATGAATATTCCAAGGACATTAGGTACTGCCTCTAGCACAGCAGCTTTGCTGGAGGATTACTGGCCCACATTTGGCCATTGCAACTGGCATCCCATTTTAAGGTCCTCAAATGACTATACCTGCTGCCACCACGGTAAAGGTCAGATGCCATGGTGATGAGCACAACCCAAATACACAGCGTTGCCTCCTCACCTTCATGTCATCAGGAAGCTGACAAAGAGGTTGGGCAAGATTGCAAGGCCCATCTGAGGTATGGGGGAAGGAGGAATGTATGTCGATACCCTGCAGAGCAGCTTGAGGTGGGAATATTTTGGGTCCCATTAAACTGCCCTGATAGGGCTTTAGTCAGTATGCCCTGCCGGGCTGTGGCATTCATGCCTCTGTAGTTATGGCTCATGGCTGGTTCAGAAATCTGGATGGGAGGTGGAGGAGCCTTGCTGGGAACCTGCAGGTGCAGACAAGGGATACTGCAGGGGGAACTGCCAGAGTCCTGGCTGGCAACAGCACCCTGAGGTCCAACTCCAGCCCCTGAGCCTGTGCTGCCTGAGGAATGAGACCCCTCAGGCATGCTACAAAGGATCAGACACTGGATGATGGACTGTCATTCCCCTCTCTGCTTTCCCCTATAAGGTCTTTGAGGCAGGGCTGATTCTCTTCTCTTTTGGTGCTGTGGCTGGCATAGTAGGGCTCCACTTTGAGTTGGGGCCTGTAATTGCTATTGTAACACAAACAATACCTAGCTCTTGTGTATCACATGTTGGGTCACTGCCATTATCCCCATGTTACAGGTAGAAAAACTGAGGCACAGGGCAGTGAAGTGACTTGCTCAAGGCTGCTCAGCAGGTCCATGGTGAAGTTGGGAAGAGAACCCAGGTCTTTTAAGTCTCTGTCTAGTGCTTTGCTCACTAAGCCCCACTGCCTTCTAATGATAACCCTGAGACTGGGCAACCCTTGGCTCAGCATGTGCCACTCAGCAGTGGGTCTCCTTTAGCTATTTGATTTCCAATTCAGATTGCCAAAGAGTGATCATGCCTGCCTGTCAGGGCGGTACTCTGACTCCTGGCCTTTCTTGTGTTGGTGCCTAGAGCCGGCTCTCTCTAACCCATTGCCTGTCACTTAGTGCTGGGAGGTGCGGAAGCAGAACAGCTCACAGTGGTGCTCCTTCATCCACACCAACCCTGACTGCCAAATTGATGGTGGCTTCCTCGACTACCTGGATGGGGTCTTCTGTGTCTTCCCCTCAACACTTCTACCGCTGGCTGTGACGCTCTATGTGAGGACTGGAGGGATGGGATTGTCACCCTGTGGGATGTTCTCGATGGGAGGTCAAATGGGGAAAGCCCAAGGGAGTGGGAGTGATGAATGCTTGTTCAGGGAGATCTGGAGGGAGAAAGCTACTTGGAAGGCAGCAGGAAAGTGAGGACAAGCCATAATGCATTACACGGAGCCCCAGGAGAAGGACGCTGCCAGGGATGGCATGAGCAGGGTAACTTAGGTTGGGCTGAGGTCATACAGATGTGGTAGAGGGTGATTTGGGGGAGCAGGGTAAAGAGAATGGGGGCACAGGGCTCTTCATCCATCCCAGACCACTTGACTTGATTTCTAGTGTGGTAGGAAACTCTTTCCATGGTGGCTTCTTGGCTCTCAGTAATGACCATCCCCCTTCCCCTGCCTTGGTTTTGGGGAGATTACCCAGAAGCCCTTGGGATCTCTTCTTAGCTCTTAGCACCCATTGCTAATTCACTGTTGGATTATTACAGGCAATGTGGCTGCTGTATCTCTTCATCATCCTTGGAGTGACAGCTGAGAAGTTGTAAGTATCTGTTCAGAGTGACCAGGAGCAAAGGGCATCAAAAAGACCCAGAGTCTTGACCTCTGTATTCATGACCATTTCAGTTTCCCATGATCTGGCCTGTGCCACAAGGTTTTGGTGATGGGAGTAGTCTCTGTCACCACCTATGTGTTTGGCATCCACATGTACATTAATGGATGTTGACGAAGCTGAGCCTTTTACAGTCAAAACACCTCCCCAAACATTGCAGGCTCCCAGTCGACACAGCTGCCAGCAAAATGCCAGCCTGGATGCAGCCCAGCAGTTGAGTTGGCAACTGTGTGACTTGGGCACCTTTCCATGCCTTCTGCTGAGTCACCCCCTTGCATGATGAGAGCACTGGTGAAAGCAGCCATGTGTGTCCCTACTCTGCTGATATTAGCCATGGTGGCAACTGCATGCCAGGAAACATTGCAGGAGAGGACTGGGCTGTACAGTCAAACTGCCTGACCCTACATTGTGGGGCTGCTGCCAACCACTGCTTTGCCAGAGCTGGAAACACAGTGCATGGCAGCAGAAGGGGCTCTTCCTTCTGGTTTAGTTCCTCTCCAAAGGATGGGAACTAAGCTGTGTCTAGATGAAGGCATTCTGCGAGCAGAGCTAGGTCAGTGAGGGGGCATGATCAATTTTACAATATATATTAGACCTCACAGAGGTGTCAGCTTTGGGAGAGTTCACAAATGAAATTACTTTGATGGCCTAAGTCCAGGATTGGGTATTTAGGGACCAGGCTTCCACTCTTTGATCAGTGGCTGTTGGTTTACATTACAAAGCCAGTGCACAACTAGGAGGATGAAGGAGGGGGTGCAGGTCAGGGAAGAGGGGCACTGGCAAGGCTGTGTATGTTGGGAGGCTGGGACTGGAATAGCAGGGGACTGGGTCAGGATTGAAGCCCATTATGAAGAGAAGGGGAAACAGTTTGTCCACTGATCCCTGTTCTGTACCATACACTCACTTCTGCCCATTCCTTGGCTCTGGGAATGGGGAATTATTACCTACTTGACTTTTCCTTGTCCTCTCTCTCTCCAGCTTTTGCCCCAATCTATCGGCCATCTCCACCAACTTGAGGCTGTCCCACAATGTAGCAGTATCCTTTCAGTGGATCCCTCTGCAAGGAGGCAGGGCTCAGAGAATGGACAGTGCAGAAGGAACAGGAAGCTTCATCTGCACAAAGAGTGATGGGGGCAGGGAATTGCATACCCGGAGCAGCGCTGAAGCTGCAGGGGAGGCTGTGGGGGAAGTGAAAGCAGCTTGATGTACTGGGGCTGTTCTGAGGCTCCACACGGGCTGTTGTCATGGCTTGTGGATCCTCCATGTGCCTAGTTGCCCTGTGGTATTAAGAAGAGGGGGGTATTCACTGTCTGTGATGGGAACATGTGCAATGCTGCATCTAGTATGCTTCCACATCCTGCACCTTGCATGCTTCCACATGCTGTTTCACTGTTTCTAGTATGCTTCCGCAATGCTGCACCTTGTTTGCTTCCACATCCTGTTTCACTTACTGTCGTTGGAACTGAAACATTTGCTACCAGAGCCTGAAAAACATCCCCTAGCCCAGGACTGAACCTACAAGTTAGGAGCTGGCATGAGAGACTGGGAGCAGGGAGGGGGCAGAGACTGGATGGACTATGCCAGGCTATTGGTGGACAGACTATTGCTGTTCCTCAGCTTTGGGAAGCTACAGCTAACAAGTGCCACAAAGGAGCTACTGGTAACTGTTGCTTAGAGGGAGTTTTCAAGAGCTTGTGGGGCTGGTCTGACTCTGCTCCCATCACCATCAGAGAAGCTTTGCCATTGACTTGAGTGAGAGAGAAGCCAGGCTGGTGCTTTCAAAAACCTTGTCTGCTGTTGTAGATGCTGCTCTGAGCAGGGAATGGAGCCCCCTGGCTCTGTCTTGCTGCAGCAACGTCACTGTCCAATCACTTCTCAACATACTTGTCATGCACTGGGATGCTTCTGAAGGAGGGCAGCAGACTCGTGACCATTTTGCAGATGGGAAAACTCAGTCATGGGGAAGTGGGATGTCTCAAAGGTCACCTAGCAGGCCAGTGATGGCAGGGAAGGGAACCCCTGGCTCCTGATTACTACGTTAGACTGAAGTCCTGCCCACTAGCTCCCACAAGCTAGGCTGTCCCCATGAGGCTTGCTCAGCAAGGTGGCAGGAGCAGGCAGTGTCCCCGCCCAGGAGCCTCTGGGAGGGAGGTCAGGCCAACCTGGCCAACCCTTCCTTAACCTTTGTCTCCATGGCGTCACTTTCCTGGCCTTTGGGAACGGCGCTCCAGATGTCTTCAGTGCGGTGGTGGCCTTTTCTGACCCCAGGACTGCGGGGCTGGCAATCGGGGCTCTCTTTGGTAAGAAGTATTTCCAGACATACAGCACTGTCCCTCCTCTCCCAAGAAACCTCATGTGCTTGCTGGCCCCACTCTGTCTGTAAGGGGGTGGCTAGGCATGTTGGTCCTTCTCCCCTGCTTATGGCTTTGTCCCCTGCTGCGTTTCCCCTACGTCCATGTTGGGGTGAGGAGTTCAGAATACCACTCACGTGCCAGGCTGTGAAGTGCAGCCTCCCCATCACTCCTGGCAGGTCTCTGTAGCTGCCTGTGGTGGGATGTGTGCCCTGGCTTTTCTCTCCCCAGTGTCCCTCACTGCTAGAGAGGATGGCCTCCTTCAACCTCACTGTTGGGGCTGCTGTGTGCCTTGGCCAGCAGGAAGTGCTCTGTGACCAGGATGTCTCACTAGATCTTGCCAGAGTGCTGTGACATGGCTGGTCACCCCCTCCCCATCCCACCTCACCCCACCCAGATTCATAGCACTCCCCTCTGCTCAGCCTCAGGCCCATCTCAGGGCTCCAGGTTCTCCTTCCTCCAACCTGTCCATGTGTGTCCAGGGGGGTGGGGAGCAGGGACGCCATCAGCTGAGGCCCAGGGTGTCAGATGAGGGAGCCACCTGCAAACCAACCACCAGCCCTGCCTGAGGGTGTCTGTCCACAGGTGCTGGCATCTTCGTGACCACCGTGCTGGCTGGTGGGATTGCCCTGGTGAAGCCCTTCACAGCAGCCTCCCGGCCGTTCCTCAGGGATGCCATCTTCTACATGGTGGCCGTCTTTGTGACCTTCTTAGCACTTTACTTTGGGAGCATTTCCCTGCCTTGGGCTCTTGGTAAGTCACGTCAGCCAGCTGTGGAGGAGGAGCAGCAGGGACATGGGAGAGCCACTGGGAATTGCTTACCCTGGTGGGAGTGCTTGGAAAGGACTTCTGTAGGGGTAAATAATGGGGTTGTGGAAAGGCAACTGAGGGGGTACAGGGAAACCTTGCGGGCAGAGCAGACAGGAAAGCCAGAGAAGTCCCTTCCCTCTCTGTGTTGCTCCATGGTAGGCTACCTTGGGCTGTACGTCTTCTACGTCTGCACCGTGGTGATCTGCACCTGGATCCACCGGAGACAAAGGGAAGGGTCATCCACTTCCAGCTCCAGAGAACCAGGTAAAAGAGCTGCCGGGGGAGAGCTCCAGCCTCATGGGACTGGCCTGACACTGTTTACCCTCACAGGTGACCTGTCCCCTCGTGATCTTTCTGTGGCCCCATTGCCCTTTTCTCTCTCCCTGTAGAGCTTGTGACAGAGTCTGAAAATGGAGGTTCCACCTCAAGTATGAATGGTGCAGATTTTGGTAGGTCTTGCCTTGCACATCAGGCTTAGGATGTGCACAGCTTCCTCACTACGTGGCGTGAGGCAGGGTCTAGTGGGTGGAGAGCACTGCTGGGAGTCTAGTTGTTCACTTGACTGCCACGGTCACAAATTTTGTTGGGAATCTGGAGACACAATGGACATAGAGAATGAATTTTCCTTCTGTTTGGAAGGACTCGGCACTGGGCTCCATTGATGGAGCCAGGCGAGGGACAGACACTTACCTGCATAGCCATTGGCTTGGAGAAGCAGACTCCCAGGACACTTGGTGTAGTCAGGGAACCGTCCCTGACTGGCTAGGCAAAGAACAGGGCATGGGCTAGGGAATGGCAGCTGAGGATGGCACTGGGGGACCTTAGGGGCCTCTGTAGACTGTGGACCCATGAAGCTAAAAAAAAAACACAGCAGCCCTATGCCCAACTCAATCTTTGCTCATCTCAAACAGGTGAAGAATATCGACCCCTGCTCCCACATGAGGAGAAAACACTCCACATCCTGACCAAATCCCTGAATACCCTGGATTACAGAAAGTGGAGGAGGAAGCCCTGTTACTGGAGACTCTTTGAAGTTTTTAAGGTAGCTTGGTTGCAGCCTTGTGACATTCCTTTTTTTGTGACATGGGCAGCTGGGCTGTGTTCCTGGCTGCAGACTGAGGCAGGCAAGTAACATGGGAGACCAAGGGAGCAGAACAACCTTGTTGTGTCTTTAAAGAATAGGCCCATCTAGATGGGGATGGAAAAAGTTCCTTCCTCTCTACCTACCAACCCTTTCCTGATACCAAGTGGAGCAATACCCATGATCACAGCCCAAGGGCTCTCTGCATCACTGAGCAGGACCTGGCTCCAAGGCCAGCATCTCAAAGGGCAGGGAGATCCTAGAGCACAGAAGCTAAAGACCTTGCTGTGATGACAGGAGCAGGTGCTAGAACAGGCTAGGAACACATGACTGTGAAGGTACTGGAGCTGCAGGCAGGTCTTTTGGACCTGACCTTTGGTGTCACCAGCTCACAGCTAAGTGAGAGGCACCAGCTCACAACCTGCCTGGTCTACCTCATCCTCTAGGGAGAAAATTGGCTCTCCACATTCTCTAGCATCCAGACCAGGTCCAGGGCTGCCAGGAGTGGTTCAAACTGCTCATCCCTCAAAGAACATGCCAGGGCATAAACAGTGGCCAGACCTGTGAGATTGGACTACTGAAAGCACCCAATGTCAATGGTCCAACACCTGAATAAATGGCCTGGCATGTTCAGAGATGGTTTGTAAGCACTCTGCCCCGTTTTGAGAACGGGCTGTTCCTGAGCTATTGGTGTAAGACACTGGCCGGGGTTTTGTGGGGATCATGTGTCTGACAACCTGGAGCAAAGTTGCAGAGTGCCATTGGTGAGCATGTGGCATTGGAAGGTGAGGGATCTGTAACTAGGGGGGAGGGTACATAATGTGTATGTACAAGAGGGGGGAGTTGTGGGGGTGGCCATTGTTGCAAGCCCGACCCCAGAGCCATCTGTTCCCAGATGCCAATTGAGTTTGTGCTGCTGCTCACCGTTCCCATCGTGGACCCTGACACAGAGGACCGGAACTGGAAGAGACCGCTCAACTGCCTGCATCTGATCACCAGTCCCCTGGTCTGCATCCTCACACTGAAATCTGGTGCCTGTAAGAACCTGGTGTTCACCCAGTGCCCCTCTCTGGCCCCTACCTGTGCCCAGGCATCCTGCGTCCACTGCCCAGCAGAGCACAGCTTACTGGCTTTGCAGTGGGAGCTGCACTACACTGTTCCACTGGCCTCACAGGTGCCTGAGGCTCAGGTCATTATAGTTGCCACTCCTAGGAGTGCAGCCATTTCAGGACAGATCCTCAGCCCCTGTACATACTTCCTCCTCAACAAAGGGTGGCGGGGAGGAAGCTGGATAAGAGCAGCTCTGTAATGTCTGTGCCAGGGTCCTACTGAGCCTTCTGCTGCCATGGGTAAGAGGAACTGAGCACTCTGCAGGCTCCAGCTGGGTGTGCTGGGAAAGCAGTGGTCCTATCTGCTTAGCAAAGAGCAAAAAGAGTGTTTTTTCCCTTCTCTCATGGGCATGTAGCACTGCTGGCCACTGGCTGCTGCTCTCTCCCCTCCGCTTCAAGGGGGGCTGCATTTTCATTCTGGATGAAGTCCTCAGCTGGTGTCCCAACCCTCACCAGGGGAGAGGAAAGAAGGCATTCACTTCAGCATGTGCTCTGCTTTGGCTGTCCTTGCCAGCAGAGCTACCCCAGGGAGCCAGTGCAAGCTACATTAACTTGTACCAAGGCCTGTTAGGACCCTGCCTAGCTCCAAATTGGAGACCTTGAGCCCCCTCTGCATACCTTAGATAAAAAGCAAGCCCCACGACTGATCCCTGAGGCTTGCTGAGGGCTGTTGGTTTGTACCATGCCAGGCTTGACCTGACCTGAGGCGCTCTGTGTACTGACCATTCTCCCTTCCCCATCTCTCCCTCCTGCAGACGGACTGTACAAAATCCAGGGTGTCTTCCCCATCTGGGGCATGGTGATCCTGATTGGGGCTTTCCTGGCCCTTGTCGTCTTCTTCACAACAAAGAACAGGGAACCACCCAAGTACCACTGTGTAAAGACCTATTGTGACAAGTCCCCTCCCCTTCCCACCTAGTCCAACCCTGTGCGACCCTTCCCTACTCACCTCTCCCATCTGTCCAGTGCTGTCCCCTTCCCATCCGGTCCAGCTCTGGGAAGAGCTAGAGGCTGATGACGATCAGATGGTTCTCATCAGCTGGGGTCCTGAGCCTGTGCTGATGCCTCCAGCTGCCTTTGGGAAGAGGCTGGAGTCTGATTCCCAGCTTGGCCAACATTGAAGCATTGGGGAGGGTGGGTGGCCTTGCCAGGCCCCCTATTTTCCCCAGCTATGGAGCTAGGGAGCTGGATCTCTCAGGTGCCCCAGACACATGATTACACTACGGTGCCCCTGCTCTCTCCCTGACAGCTCTTTGCCTTCCTGGGTTTCTTGGCCAGTGCCATGTGGATTAAAGCTGCTGCCACTGAGGTAGTCAACATCCTACGGACCTTGGGTGTGATCTTCCAGCTGAGCAACACTGTGCTGGGCCTGACGCTGCTGGCCTGGGGGAACAGCATCGGTGGTGAGGGGACGTGTGTGTGTGTGTGTGTGTGTGTGTGTGGTGTGTGTGTGTGTGTGTGTGTGTGTGTGTGTGTGTGTG